ATTTGCACGAAAAATTAGAAACACCCATATATCTGTAAAAGTGTACTATACAATATCTTGAAAAGCATCAAAATCCTTGATCCTATCCTTGATACTCGTACGTGTGCGAGGTGAATTTAATTCGACGTTTTGAAGTGGGTCAAAATCACGTTCAGAGATTTCGTTACACACATAACAAGCTAATAAAAGTATGTTTATTAATATATAATGACTACTTTTGAGTAAAAATTGAAAAACTTTATTGTATTATGTATATTTTGTGTTGTATTTTGATTAATTAAATCAATGGGAAAACATATACTCAATTATTCGACTTCTAGTAAGTTCATTGTTCTGGTGAAAGTGAGATTACAGTTATGTAACCGTGTTATACCCACTGTACGAATAGAAATGACTTTAATTTTACTTAATTAAGCCATTCTTTGTGCAACATAACTGTATACAAATATTAAAAGCAATTTATGTTTGTACTGTAAACGGTAAATAAAAATGTTTTATCTAATAAATTGTATATTTATCAGGATTTCACGTATTTTTTAGGAAGGAAAATAGCAGTCAAGTACTAATACTAGTAGTACTTGGTTCTACTGCAACAACATTACCTAGAGGAGGGGGGGAGGGGGGGGGGCTAGTGTAATTTTATTTCAAATCAACTCGATCGTCAAACTGAAATCTCCACCAATCGCGACGCGAAACGCTCTCGTGGTTGAGAGCAAGTTATAAAATAAATAAACTAACACTAGGGCCTCTGTATGCCAAAGTTTATAGAAGAGACTCTCACGGAAAAGCCAAACTCATAATAATAGATGGTCCTGTTGGTCGAGTGGTTAGTGACCCTGACTGCTAAGGCAGAGGTCGTGGATTCGATTCCCACCCGGGACAAATAATTGTGTGATGAGCATGATCATTTGTTCTGTTTTTGGGTGAATTTGTGAATTTAGAAATAAATACTGGTTATTATCAGCAGTCTGGTGGTCTGGCACAGGCTCTGCCTAGTTTGGGACCAGACGGCCGTGTGTGAGATGTGTGAGGTTATCATTATTATGGTAATTATTCTTCCAAATCCTAAACAAGAAAAGCAACTAACAGCACAGTAAGATGATGATTCCCATGATGGTGGATTCAATAAAAACTGACTGTACCATAGTTAATTATATTTATCAGCTATTTCTAAGCGACTACCAGCACCCAATCACACCTTCAACTCAAGAAATACAAGTACGTTGTAAACCCCCAAACTCAAACTCAAACTCAAACTTTCTTTATTTCATAAAATTTTCAAAATTGTTTGAAATCGTCTTCCATGTAGACTCTAAAGTCATAGATCAACACACACAAAAGCAACAATCTCTGTTTTGTCAAATAGTAACCAAATAAATTTAACAAAATCAAACCCATACAAAATCTGTGCCTGTGCCGATCTACAACCGCCCGTTTCCAAGGGGTTGAGCCTTATGAGAAGAAAGGGCAAACAAACTCATGGCCACTCTTTTGCAATTCACAAGTAGATACAATGGCACTATTAAATATATCACAACATTGTTTTGATGTGTGCTAGTATGTCCGTTATTAAGGACTTAAAGGTGAAAAAACAAGGAAGAGAAAACAAGATTAAGAAGAACAAACGAATACAAGAGAAAATAAAGTGAAACATAAAAAATAGAAAAAATAATAAAAAACATACTAGCCACACCACATTTTTACTTAAGAAAGAAATAGCCTGCGCTAATTAATCCCAAGCATTCTTGTCCTCCATGTAATCCACAATCGAGTAGTAGGCCCTCTGGCACAAGCCACGTTTTATTGCGGATTTAAATTTGTTAATACTCAACTCCTGAATATTATTTGGGATTTTATTATAAAATCGGACACATTGACCTCGAAAAGACTTGTTTATCTTTTGGAGCCTAGAGGCGGGTACAACAAATTTATTTTTATTTCTGGTATTTATGGCATGTACATCACTTTTTTCAAAAAGCTATCTTTATTTTTGTGAACATATATTACATTTTCATAAATATATTGACTTGCCACTGTCATTATATTTATTTCTTTAAATTTCTGCCTCAATGAACAACGATTGCCTAAATTATAAAGTGCTCGAATAGCTCTCTTTTGCAGCACAAAAATAGTTTGAATGTCGGCAGCATTCCCCCACAGCAGAATACCGTACGACATTATGCTATGAAAGTAACTGAAGTAAACAAGTCGTGCTGTATCAACATCAGTCAACTCTCGGATTTTCCTTACTACGTATGCTGCTGAGCTGAGTCTACTCGACAATTTATCAATATGTGGGCCCCACTGTAGCTTAGCATCTAGTGTTATACCTAAAAATGTCGTAGTGTCCACAAGGTCCAGCCCGACATCCTTAATTATCACAGTAGTTTTCACTGGCTTGACGTTTGGCATAGTGAAACGTATACACTTAGTTTTTTGTTCATTTAATAGTAAATTGTTGACATCAAACCAATGAACCACTTTCGAAATGGCGCTGTTTACAAATGTGAAATCAGAAAGTGTCCGTTTTAGTCTAAATAATAGTGATGTATCATCTGCAAACAACACAATCTCGAGATTGTCCTTGACAAATTGAGGTAAGTCGTTAATATATACTAAAAACAAAAAAGGGCCGAGAATAGAACCCTGTGGAACTCCCATTTCTATCACAGAGCCTGGAGACCGCTCACCATTAATATCAACTTTTTGAATCCTATTACATAGATATGAGGCAAGTAGTTCCAGGGCTTTATTTTTGATACCATAGTGCTGTAATTTCCTGATCAGCGTTTCATGAACAACACAATCAAAAGCCATAGATAAATCGCAAAAGATACCTAGAGAATCGTGGGCATCCTCCCAGGCATCAAATATATGTTTTACTAGCTCAACACTAGCATCAGTTGTGGAGCGACCCCTTGTAAAACCAAATTGTCTATTGTGCAATAAATTATTATTATTAAAAAAACTGTGCAATTGATCATACATAATTTTTTCAAAAATTTTACTAAATACTGGTAGTACTGAGATAGGTCTAAAGTTAGTTGGGTCAGATGTACTACCAGATTTGAATAAGGAAATAATTTTAGTAGACTTCATAAGATCAGGAAATACACCACTATCAACACATTGATTAAATGTAAATGACAATTGATTAGCCACAAGAGATATAATTGTCTTAGTAATTAAAACAGAATTTCCCCATAGGTCGGTTGTTTTTTTAACATTAATAGTGTTAAAGGCTTTAATAATTTCAAAGGGGGACACATATTGGAACTTAAATTCACTATCAATTCTTCTAACATTCTCTTTTAAAATTGATTCTGCAAGGTATGGTGAGGAGTTCAAAGATTTAGTAGTTGATAAAGGAATGTTAGTAAAAAAATTCTCAAATGCAGCAGCAACCTCAGCATTTGATGTGATTAATGTATTGTTTATGTTTAAATTAAATTCATTATCACGGTTTGGATCTTTGCCAGTTTCACTATTAATAATTTTCCAAGTGGTTTTAATCTTATCATTACTACTTTTAATCTTTGAACTAATAAAACGAGACTTAGCCAGTTTACAAAGTTTCCTAAACAGCTTCGAATATTCTTTAACATAATTATGAAACTGTTCACTTTTATTATAATTCCTCTCATCGTATAGCTCGTATAATCTTTTCCTACTTTTGAGTAAGCCAGGGGTAGCCCATTCACTAAATGTGGCGTTACCTTTAACCACTAGCGTTTTTGGTGTAAAAATGGTGTTAAATGTTGAAGAGAAAGTTTCAAAAAAACTATTATAATAAGTATTAGGGTTATTCTCTACACAGAGTACTGAATTATTAAAAGCAGCTTTAAGTTTATCCTTAAAGTTTTCACAACGCTTTGCGGTTTTAGGTATCACCACAATTCTTTTTTCTGACACTTTTTCATACCTATACCTATACATACCCCCTTCTCTCACTTTTACCCTAGAACTAAAAGAGAAGGCTAAGGGTTGTGGCCCCAGTAACCTCGCTCACTCGATTACAATGATGATGTAATAAATCAATGCGGTCGAGCTGGCGGGTATATCCTGAATCCTGAATCTCTAATGATTAATGCTCTTCCGTTTTGCTAAAGACGAACTAGGCTTTCTGTCACAGAATAATCTTAGACCTTCATTAGCGCTGGCTTGAGAGTGACTAGTTTGCCGGCTCGGAACCCTTTTTTTTTCACGTGTGGAAACCCCCTCAGGCCGTCACCGGGCCGGGGTTTGCGGCAGGGTGGTGTGTCGAAATCGAACCGACTGAAACCACACGGTGTGCCACTCTGCGCCTGTAATGGGAGGGATCCGGGAACTGCAGTTATTAAGACATCCAGACAACCCTTGCAGAGGCAGCTTTTTTAAACTGGTTGGAAGCCTCTGAAAAGGTACAACTAAGGTCTAGAAGGTTTAGACTTTCTTTTCAGGTGTAGGTTTAGCCGTAGAGCCACCCGTAGGCCTTTCATAAAGAGAAAACTTAGACTATATAGCCTTATTAACGACGATCTTAATAATACTGGTGTAAAACTTGGGTCTCATTCATACAGGTTATAGGGCCCTTCTTCAGTAAACAGGAGGCTTTTAAGAGTGTGAATATTATAGCTTTTACTTTCGTAACGTAAAGGTTTATGTTTTCATAGATTCTGAGATTTTGATGCTGTTCTGCAACTAATTTATAAATAGAATAAAGCAAGTATGTACACAAACACGCCAGGCAGTACTGAGGGTACCTCAGAGCGCCGACGCGGCCCGCAGGCCAGCTCACGCATGCGAACTGCGCGCCGAGCCTCCAAGCCGCGCGCAGATCGACACAGCCACCCACCCGCCATTTACTTATCGAAAGATTACCATCGAAAGCGAACGTTTAATTTTTAACATAATAACGAATATAAACAGTAAATATAATAAGTGAAGTGTCAAGTCCAATGTGAGGTGTGAGTTTGTGAACATTGAGAACGATTGATAGCGTTGTATTCGAGTTTAGCCAAATGGATGAACGGTATGTGCACATTTTTTAAGGATTGATTTCAAGCCACAGTGACCTTGACACTGTTTCGTGTTGTGGCTGTTGGACTTGATTATCTAACAGCAAGGGATTGTGTGGAACAACTATTTTAATACTAGGCCTTTATTTACCTTTTACTTAATATTTATGCCTTTTATTTATTATTTAAGTATGCTAACTTGTGGTGTGATATCGATACTTTATGTTTTCTTTTAAATTATTTTATGGAAACTCATCCTGAGCCTTTCTCCCAAACTAGGTTGGGGTCGGCTTTTAGTCTGCCACGACACAGCCGAACATTATTTTTTTATGTGGAGCAACTGCCATCAACAGAAAGGTCTATCTTTATCACCGTCCTTATTCATTCCGTGGGACTAATGGAGCAGATTACCCAGGACAACAGCACTGTAAAGAGAAGGAAAACTTTAAATAAACCCTACCAACCCGTCAGGCCAGCGTGGTTATAGTAGGCCAAAACTTGTTTTCTGAGGAGAAGCTTATGTCCAGCCAGTGGGCTACTAAAGGCCGTTGATGATGATGATGACTGTCATCAGACCTCCACAACCCAGGTACTAGGCGATATTGAAGTTTTGTAGATAGACTGCTGTAGGAGTTTTTAGGAGCCTAACTACCCGTAAAGATTGCAACAGATTTGCTTATGACTACCGTTACCAACGGCTTGACGTGCTCTCCGAGGCATGGAGGAGTCTCAAGGTATAAAGAATGGTCGCCTATCCATAGACTACCCTGACTATAATTGCTTAACTTTGAAATGTGCTAACTTACTCGGTTACAACTTAGCCCTGGTTAGGGAAACGAACCCCCGACTTCTTCTTATCCTATAGGTGCTCTCACCACTGAGCTTACGAGCTCTTTTGAATTAAAACTGTATTTCATTATTTCAGTAGCTTTTGTACGCAACATTAATGTACATTTTAACATGTAATTCAGTTCAGGCACCTAGGTACATCTCAGAAGCAATTTTTAGGTCCTTTGTTCTTAGATTAGTATACGTTCAAACACAAAATATAGTAATTAACGTGCCTATTTGCAAAGGCCATCGGTCAGTTCGAATTACCTCTATATGACCCTGATCTACTCGAGATATCGCTTAAATGCTCCACATCCACTCGTAAAAGCAATATTTCTTTCCTGTCATTACCATTGGCAAATTATGGCCTGCCCTATTTCTGGATGAATACGACCTTCATACCTTCAAGCGCGAACTTACTCCCTCAATAGCAAACAACTCTTTTGTGCCTGACTTGCAAAGATCGGACAGTCGTAGCCACTTAACACCACAAAATCATCTTATCGTTAGCCTCCTATATTATAAAAAATCTTGGAGAAAACATCACATCTTGTTTTCCATCTTTTACAATTTTTTAAAACTTTTGTTTTGTCTTATTGTGTTGTCTGTGTTGTTAATGTAATAATTACAAACGACACCACAGTGCTATTATACAATTCATCAAACATTATTAGGTTCGGCTCGTGGCTAAGTATGTTAGCACATTGAAAAGCTAAGCAATCCTTGCCAGGTCAGTCTATGGATGGGTGACCATTTTTAGCTCTTAAGACTCCACCGCACGTCGGAGAGCAAGCCCTCGGTCCCGGTTGCCATCCGAACATATGTGGCATCGTTACGTGTAGTTGGGGCCTTTAAAGTACGATAACAGTCCATCTACAAAACTTCGATGTCGCCTAGTACGTGGGTTGTGAAGGTCTGGTGCCTGTCGCTTCACGTAAACAATCGCAGCTAAGCCGTATCGTAGTACACTTAAACCGACCCTAACCTACTTTGGGAAAATAGCGAGGAAGAAACATTATAGTTTGAACTATATTGTGATGTATACTGATGATTACTGACTTAATTTGATATCGGATACTTCTCATAATAATAATTTTAATTTGCCAAAAATATGATTGTAGGTTTTACAAGACAAGTGTAGGATACATGTAGTGTTACATAATAATAATGGGTGTAGTACTGCCCACCTAAATGGGCTGCAGATAAGCTTGTGATGAGGAGGTACAGTACCGGTCCCTATGGTATAACTTAAGAATAAAACGTTAAAAAGTGAATGAGTGAGGAATATCAAAGAGTTTAAAAGGGACTTTAATACATTATTGTTTATAGAAAACGTGTTATTGTTTAAAGTAAAGAGAGACTAATTCATTTTCTGCATTTGAAGAATAACTTTCTTTAATGTTAAAAATATTATTAGTTGCAATTCGATTCGGCGCAAAAAGTTATATATTACTCGTCGGGTCACAATATAATACAATATAGAAATTTATATATCAACTTTGAAAGAAAGAAAAGACCGAGTGAATGAGTTTCTAAAAACCCAGCCTTAAAAATTGGGGGGAGGACATTCGAACGATGTGTCTCTGAAGTTATAAGTGTCCATCCCACCCATGGGTGGCAGGAGTCACTGTTTATACAGAAGTCATTCATCATAGGCAATACATTAAAATATTGCTTTTTCTCTAGCGATTAAAAATGTTTCTTTTCTAATGTTACGTTTTATTTTGACTGCCTCCGTGGTGCAGTGGTTGCGTATGCGACTGCTATTCTGAGGTTGGGTTCGTTTTTCGGGTCTGACCTAATGTTGTATGATTTGCAAATATTTGTATGTATTTACAAAAAATAGTATACGAGTATTCTATCGGTCAGTCTAGCTTCCATTGTACAAGCTCTGCTTAGTTTGAAACTAATGTGTGTTAGATGACCGAAATAAAAAAATATTTAAATAAATTCAATGTATTCTGAAGTTTATTTGATAGCGTGATATGACTCACCAGCCTCAGTGAACAGTACAACACAAACGAGGGGTTGGAAAGTAATAAACATGACTCAGTTGTTACTTTACATGGCGCTATTAGATTATGAACATGCAAGTAATGTAGATTCTAGATGATTAACTGAATCATGGCTTTCTTACCTTCCTTCTTTTTAGTTGGGGCTTTAGCTGGTTTCGTTGAAGGCTTGGCGGCCTGATGCCCAACCATCTTTGTATGTTTAGTGTATAATGTACTAGCTAATGCCAGGGACTCCGCTCACGTAATTATTTCTTAACTTTTAAACTTTCGCGTTCCATGATAATTAATATTATTTAACGGGAATTAACGCGATCTCTTATTTAGGGTATTACATACCTCTGGTTTGCCTGACGTTTCGACCAGGTTGCACCGGCCGTGATCACAGTCAGCCTGTGACCACGGCCGGTGCAACCTGGTCGAATTCCCGTTAAATAATATTAATAATTATTTCTTGTTTCGTGTTTCTAGCTTTGGCATCATCGTTCATCTCTAATTTTACCCCCTTAGGGATGTAATTGCCAGAATGTATTTCTTAGTGAGTGCTTACAACATAAAAACCATCAGCTGCCATTTCAAGTAGTCTTAGTGGTTTGTGCTCTGCGTTGGTGAATCAGTCAGTTAGGGCAAGTAATTTATGTATAGATTTCATACAACTAAAATTGTAGTTGTAAACGACCCACAGATACAGCTCGCTTGTGTAAGTGGTCTAAAGGTCATAACTCATTAGAGCTACCCGACACCCGACCAGTACCACCTCGTCTCGAGCGGTTAGCATTCTTTGTATGGAGTACTGTTGGTAAACGCTCACTACAGCAACACCGGAGCGACTCGCCCGCGGATTGTCCATGTGCGGACGGCGAGTAGTCCAGTCGGTGACCGCGGATTATCCACGAGTGGTTCACGCGCGAGAACGATGCATCGGCGGCCTACCGCTCCTCCTCAAACGTGTCTGTCGTATCGAATTCTGGTTAACAAGGCGGCGTGCACCCGTGGACCACCCGTCGACAACGTGTCGGGGTGGTGCTGGTCGGGTGTTTAGTTTGTGTAATGAGCTATGGCCTTTAAGATGCTCATCACATGCACAGCAGGCCATATTTCACGCTTTAAATTAGTTGGACCTACATCTACAAACAAACAGAACAAACAGAATCTTAGCGTAACGGTAGGAGTAGTGCCCGGTTGCCGTTGGCTCGATAGGACTACGGGCTCACATGAAATGCGTATTAAGCAAATCTTCGGTTGCTTCCGCACGAGTTTACTTAACCGTGACTCTAAGGGCACTCAGAAAGCGGCAACGCACACGTGTCTCTTGAGTTCCGGTTACTCATGAGCAACGTTAGTCACGTACCATCAGGTTGATGACCGTCTCTTTTTGCCCCAATAAGATAAAAAGTATTATTGCCCTTTATTTGGCAAATACAGTTGGCAAAATGTAACACACTATACCTATATGCGCGATTTTATGTTTGTTTGTATGTATGTGTAGTGATCTCTGAAGGCCAATTCTTTTAAAAAGTATTCCAGTACATCCAACGCTAATTGTATTGTGATTATATCGTATTGTAATCGAAAATTGAATCGGTTATTTTACTACGAAAATATCCTTTATGACAGTTGTGAGATCGAAAGTTGATCGGAACTGAATTGTGATCGAACTTTTATTACTAGAATTGGCCTGAGGGTTGAGTGCTTGTATCGTGTATTATCTTATCACACAATTATTGCGTGAATGTGTAGAAATGTAATCGGTGATGCGTACAATGTGGTCCGGTATCGCCTGAATACGTAATTATACTTACTGTAGTACCCTGAAGACACGTTTGTGTAAAACTGTTGTTACTTCTATGTCTCCTAAGCATGTATTATACCCTATCAGGGTATAATCAAGGCATGGAAATATCAGGCCATAGAATCTATCTTGGTCAAATCTAATCTTGATCAAAAACCTCTTCATAAAACATAATTTTTGCCTCATGATTCATGATGCGAGCAATGTGACCAACAACTGCCACTTAAATTTGGTAATTCTGCGGACAATGTCAGTGACCTTCGTAAAAGTCGGGGGGGGGGGGGGGAGGACAATGATGATGATGAATTCATCATGCCTTCATGATGCCTCATTTTAGTTCCGTTAAAATCTGCAGTAAATATTCCTGCAAAGTCTGTGAAATGTTGTTTAGGTTAATAATTCATTTCTTTACTGGAATGCACATGAGGTACTTTTTCAAAAACCAGAAAAATCTAAATTCAAATTTTATCGGGTAATGTTTATTATCATACCTAGCAACTATATCTTACATTCATCTTTAAGATAATGCCTTTCAAATGTTGGCCTTGACTGCGACGAACATGGTCCATTCTTAAGTTCCAATTTTCTATGACGCGTTGGAGCATTTCGAGTGGTATTTGGCGAATAACGCGATTAATGTTGGCTTCCAGTACCTCAATCGTAGCCGGCTTATCCTTGTAGACTTTGGACTTCACATAGCCCCAAAGAAAAAAGTCTGAGAGGTGTGATGTCACATGACCTAGGCGGCCAATTCACAGGTCCGAAGCGTGAAATTATCTGTTCACCGAAGTGTTATCGCAGTAATGCCATAGTTTCACGGGCTGTGTGGCACGTAGCGCCGTCTTGTTGAAACCATATGTTATCGAGATCACGGGCTTTAATTTCAGGCAGCAAATAGTCCGTTAACATGGCACGATGACGGGCGCCATTCACAGTTACGTTTTGGCCAGCCTCGTTTTTGAAAAAATATGGACCGATGATTCTACCAGCCCATAACGCACACCAAACCGTTGTTTTGTCTGGATGTAATGGCAGTTCTTGAATCTCTACGGGGTGCTCCTCAGTCCAAATCCGGCAGTTTTGCTTATTGACGTAACCATTTAGCCAGAAATAGGCCTCATCGCTGAACAAAATCTTGATCGAAAATTGTGGATTTTCTTCAAGCCTTTCAAGCACCCAAAGACTTAAACGGCGACGATTGGGAAGGTCGGTTGGCTTCAATTCCTGTACGAGTTGTATTACGAGTTGTAAACCAATATCTTTACGTAAAATACGCCAAGTTGTTGCATACGATAAGCCAAGCTGTTGAGAACGGCGCCTAATCGATTCATCACGGTCATCGCGTACACTCGCGGCTACTGCCGCTATATTTTCTGCACTTCGCGCTGGATGTGGTCTGTTTGGTCGAGTATTATCCAATAATGAAAACTGGGTCTTAAATTTTTTAATGGTACAGCGAATAGTGCGCTCGGAAGGCCAATTATGTGGACCATAAATTGCTCTAATGGTGCGAAACACTTGCCTCGTAGAACGCCCATTTTCATAATACAGCTGAACAAATTGTAGACGCTGTGCCGGGCTATATCTTTCCATGATGAAATGTCAAACAATACTGAAGACGACTACCGTGACAGTTTGAACGTTTCACAGTTTCTTCTGTCAAAAATTCGCTACTGGAAACAGTACCTCTAAATGATTCACCCAGTATTTATACTTGTAAAACGTTTAACACACTGTAGGCAAGAAAAAGTTTAATTAGATTGTCTCACAATTGCTTTATGCGCTGGAGTTGTGTTGTGCTTTCTGAATTTCAAAACGGACCGTTAAAGTGTAAGTCTTGGTCTAAAGTACATATTATATACTTCATCATCATAATCATCAACAGCCTTTGATAGGTCACTGCTGGACATAGGCCTCTCCTTAGAAAGGAGGTTTTGGCCTATTATACCACGTTGGTCAGACGGGTTTGTTATAGGGTTTGTGTCTGGTTTTCTTTCTCTTTGCAGTGCTTATGTCCTGCGTAGTCTGCTCCCTTAGTCGGCTCTTACGACACCCACGGGATGAATAGAGGTGGTGACACTTCGTATTCTTAATCAGTCACAACACGACCAGCGTGTCATAGTAGGCCAAAACCTCCTTTCTATGGAGAGGGCTATGTCCAGCAGTGGACTATTATATGCTGTTGATGATGCTGTAAAGCTATCAGCTCTTTGTTTAAATTTTTCTAATGTCCGGAATAATCAGTCACATTTGAATGTTTATTTGTGTATTGGATACAGAAAGAATTATGTGAGTGTGTCTGTTACTCTGTCTGTGAAAACACGTATCTACTACAATGCACTACACGACCGATCATCATACACACGTTGTCAGAAGACTAACTGTTGACTAGGTTAGATCTAAGATCATATACATAGTTTATTTTATGCTATATTGTGAAACAACACATGCAAAAGATAAAATAATAATAATAACTAGACACATCTCACACACGGTCGTCTGATCTCAAATTATGTCGAGCCTGTACTTAAATAACTAGTCTGCTTATCTTATACTAGCTGACCTTCGTCTGCGTCTCTCAATAGTAATAAATTTTCTCCGTTTTTGAAACATTCTTCATTGGTGCTCCGCTCCTATTGGTCTTAGCGTGATGATATATAGCCTATAGCCTTCCTCGATAAATGGGCTATCTAACACTGAAAGAATTTTTCAAATCGGAAAAGTAGTTCCTGAGATTAGCGCGTTCAAACAAACAAACAAACAAACTCTTCAGCTTTATAATCTATACTAATATTTAAATTTTTAAATTTAAATTTAATATTTAAAATTTATTACTATTGAGAGACGCAGACGAAGTTGCGCGGGTCAGCTAGTATTAGTATAGATATAAAATTCTCGTGTCACAATGTTAGTTACCATACTCCTCCGAAACGGCTGGACCGATTTTTATGAAATTTTGTGTGCACATCGGCTAGGTCTGAGAATCGGCCAACATCTATTTTTCATACCCCTAAATGGTAAGGGTGACCCATCCCTATTTTTTTTTTTGCAATACAACGTTTGCCGGGTCAGCTAGTAAACATATATAATACATTTATTTTTAGATTCATACATATTTTAGATAAGTTACTCTCAACTCAGAGCAACACATCATGATCATCACACAATTATTTGTCCAGGGTGGTAATCGAACATACGACCTTAACAGGAACGCTTAGCCTACACGCTAGTCACATAACATTGAGCATAGCATCTTCTGTGTTCCAGCATGATGCACCCCACCCCGTCGTGGCTGGCGTGGTACCAGCGCAACATAGCCCGCGCACGCGCGCCCAGCCGCGTCTCCGTCTACACCAGCGTCTACAGAGGGGAAAAGCACTTGCCGTTTGTGAAGTTGGTACCTACTGTTTTTTTTCTGTGTGTTTTGTTCAAATTGTAAATCTTCGATTCAATGCAACTTCTAGTTTACTAGTGTGATGTTATTTTTATATTCAATAAGCTTTTGTATATATATATATATATAGATATTTTTGGACATTCGGGTAGTGGACCCGACTTCCACGGTGTACTGAAGTCTCAGCCTAATGAGGAAAATGTTCCATCTTAGATTTGCGGTTTATTTAACCACCGCTTCCTCGCGTTATCCGTTTTCCCAAACTAACTTATTCCTAGGTCAAGCATGAAAACCGCCTTTCTTCTTTTATTTTTTGTTTTTTTATGCTCATACAAACGTATTTACAACTAGCTGAGACCCGCGGTGTTACCCGCGTTTGTTGTTATAACCGCGGGCAACGCCGCGGGGCAAAGCTAGTCTAAAAAAAGCCTAAGTTACTCCTTATGTCATCAGCTATCTGCCAGTGAAAGTCCCGTCGAAATCGGTCCAGCCGTTCCAGAGATTACCCGGAACAAACAGACAGACAGGCAGACAAAATTGTAAAAAATGTTATTTTGGCATATGTACCGTGTAAACATACATATGCATTTAGTAAAAAGCGGTTATTTTAATATTACAAACAGACACTCCAATTTTATTTATTTGTATAGCATATACAAGCATTACCTTAGTTTTCTATGGCAGAGAGTTTTTAACCTTGCATGCAACGAGTCTGTGAGGAAATGCACACATATCACATATTCGATACACAGCTAAGAGTTTTGTCATATAAAAGCTGATATCTTTCACACTTTCACATTACGGAATAACCATGGCATTGTAGATAAGTGGTGGAGTGAAGCATAACTCAGGTGAGTGTGAGTAAGAAGACACAGTCGTAAGGTTAAAAACAACTAACCATTTTAGTATCATACAAATAGTATAGGAGTGTCAATTAGTCATCGTTACCTGTTTGGTGTTCAGGTTCGTGATGAATGACGACCCCCTGCCCACCCCCCCTTTCGAGTGGCTGAAGAGGCTCAACATCGATCAGGAGAGATGGCGCGCACACGTCGCATCTGATCTCTCTAAGGTGCTGAACAGAAACGAACATTCAATTAAGGAATTAATTGGTTCTTCTTTTATTTTGTGTAACCTAAAAAACTCAACCTGTAACAAGGAATTTTTGGCTGAATTTCCATAGAATGCGACGACTAAACAAAAATTATCACATAGCTTGGTGCTCCTAAATCATTATAAATAGTGTAAAACCGTATTGTACAAACCTAAATTTAACCTTAGATAGCCGACTAAGGGAGCAAACTACGAAGGACAACAGCACTTCGCCTGGCAAGCGTGGTACAGTAAGCCAAAACCTCCTTTCTAAGGAGAGGCCTATGGAGTGGACTACTGGAATGCTGTTGATTGATTGAGAGTAAAAATATTTTCTTGTAACGGGGCCATGCCGTAGTACAATCAATTAAATAAACAAATAATTATTGAAATCTATAATATTCACATGAAAATAGGGATAAACATGGTGTGAATATATAAATTCTTTTCTGCCATTTTGCAGTTGGTTAAGAATACAAATTTGGTGATACCAAATGCCATAAAGAGGCGAGGAAAATAGATCATTTGCTATTTTTAGTAACTTGTTATTGGTTTTTATCTGTTGATTAGCATCGTTAAAATGAGTTCATATAATAAATGTAACTAGCTTTTGCCCGCGGCTCCGCCCATTGTTTGTCGGATATCGCGGTAAAAAGTAACCTATGTCCTTTCCCAAGAATCAGCACATCTCCGTACCAAATTTGATTAAAATCTTAATCGTAAAAAAGTAACACACAGACAGTTCCTTTAGGATTAATAATATCAGTAGGGATTTATTTGTGATACCTTGAAAATAGTGAAGAAAAGAGAAAGAAAGATCGCTGGCTGCGTATCAATGCGGACTGCCTAAGACCGCGATAGACGGCGTCAGGATGATGAGACCACGGATAATGACGAACGAAAACTTTCTGACAAATCGCTTTAAAATTTTCCTGGATTCTTCATGGTAGGCCTCATCGGGCTTCGCCTCTCGGCTTCTGTGACGAAACTAAATGGGTCGTATTTGACTTCAATTAATGATTTTCTTTAGGACTCAATGGAGTACCACCAGCGCTTCCACAACTACCCGCCCGTGTCGCTAATACTGCCGGACTCGGCGGGAGGAGAGGGCGACGCGGGGCCGGTTGGGCGGCAACCCCCCGACGGCTATAACGCTCCGGCGTGGGGCGGCTGGGCGGCCTGCGCCGTGCTCGTGGTGCTGCTCGTGCTGATCGTGCGCGTCACCGAGAAGTGCTTCGACAGGAGACTCTTCGGCTGTAAGTGCTATCACAGCTTCAGACACCTATATTCACCTCGATGCACAAACACAGATTATGTCATTTAACACATACATGTAAATACATCAAATATTCATTATTGTTTATGAAAAAAAAAAATGTAATCTAAATGTACATGTATGTAAAAATATAATGTAATAATAATTAATAGATAATATTGCAACACATGAAAAGAGGTGGGGCTACCGGTTTAAGGTCAATGGAAAATATACGGAATCCATCTTAGCATTCGCAGAGGACCTCGCGATCCTCACACGTAAATCGAAGCAGTGCCAACAAGAACTACTGCGTAAAGTGGATGACTTCTGTACCTGGGCGGAGGGAATGAGGACAAAACCTAGCAAATGCTTTTGCCTTTGTCTGTACCGGTGAGGTACCAGATATACCTCATATGACCCCGTCATTACTATTGATGGGGAAAGTGTTTCAATGATATCAGAAATCGTGTCCTTTAAATTCCTTGGAAGAAAGATAGACTACAACGGTCGTACTACATCTATGAACGCAATAGTCGATGACTTCGTAAAATATATTGACAAGGTACAACAGCCAATAAGTAACGTGAAAAAAACTTGGATTTATGACAACTACTTAACATCACGTCTCAACTTGCCGTTTTTAGTATACGATATAAACCAGAACCACTTAAGAACAATGAACGCGAAAGTCAGTCGAGACATTGAAGTCGTGGCTAGCAACATCTGCGGACCTGCGAACTTGAATAACTTTAGAATGAAATTAAAAATACCTTCAGAACTCTACAAACGCCTAAGAGTTACCAAAATGCATGTCTTGTCAAAATCAGAAGACGAAATCGTTAGATCCCTTCCAAAAGACAAAAATTCATCAGAGCTCGAGTTAATTCATGGTGGGAACGTAGTCCAGTAGAGTTGGAATGGTAATGCTAGAAGACAGACCGACAAAAAGATAACAAAATCTTTCCTATAACAAGATGAAAACGAGACGTTGTCACCTGCCCTGCTAAAATTTTAGACTCTTACCGATCAAAACAACTTTGTACGATGTGCAGTGCGGAAATAGGTACAGCCAGGCACTTATTGACAGGTTGTAAGTCACTATGAGACCGGGGTCATTATTCACGTCGCCATGATAGGATATTACAAATCATACGCAAAGCTAGATAAGTTTCTATATCATCATCATCATATAATAATCATTACAGAATACCGGAGGATAACTGTGCCTCGGGGTCCAGACCAGACATATTTCTTTATGCAATTTTAATTAAGCGTGTAGTACTAGTAGAACTAATCGTGGAAAACGAACATCCCTAAAGACCACCCTTTAAAAAGAAACAAGTACAATGACTTAACCAACGAAACAACTAAAATGGTTATGTTGTTGCGTTGAATGCCGTGGAAGTGGTTGTGAGGGGTATACCAGCAAAATTCCTTTATAACCTGCTTAAAGACCTTGGATTAGCTCTTATAAAATGTGGTTAGGTAGAGGGGTAACACAGCAGACAGTGGAGGTGAGCGCTGACACGTCGCAAGGAGTACACCCTAAACCTACACCTGGGTGGCAAGTCCCAGGCGCTGTCGAAGTCGCATGTGTTGCCCCCATCTATCACACAATGGATGGTGAATCCATGGAACGCTAAGAAATAGGTCATGAAATACAGAGATTGAGTAATGTAACGGTATAAAGTAAAAAACAAAAATAATTATGCTTGAAATATAGAAAATATTAGAAGAATTTATATGCCACACCAGCTATTAGAAAGCGAAGCTAACTTCTCGATACCGACTAGTTCTGAACAGCGTTAATAAATTTTAAATTATATGCGCTATTAACACAATATATAAACAATAGGTCAAAAGAAGTATTCTACTTCTTTTGACAATCGAACTGCTAAATTATAATATCCTAGAAATCTTTATTTGTATTTATGTCTGTGTGAACGTTCTGAAATGAAATGATGATGAAATGATATTTATTTCTGTAAGTAAATCTTTTCAGATATTTTTACAAGTCTGTGACCTATTTCTCTGTTTCGTAGATACAAGACGAGACTCACTAGAGTGGGACACACCCAATGTCACAGCCACAAGCCGTAAGTCTGCAATTTAGTTTCAATATTTAATATTTATTAAATTCCAATATTATCAAGAAGTAATCGTTGATAATGGTTTAGTTAGGAGGTACTTATATCACCAAGGTCTGATGTCACTTAGCAACAAGTAATTTAATAGCTATAGAAATTATAATAGTTTTTCATTTATTTCAACAAATTAAAATTTCATATGTCCGAACATTAAAGCTTCGAATTACCAGCTACACATAAAACTTGATAAAAGAATTGAATTCGTCCTCCATTATTTTTACGTGGATGACATGATAACTTTTACATTTCAGTGCAACAACAGAGTCTAGACGTGTCGAATTTGCCTCATTTGGATGATTCAGAGTTCTTGACCCCGAACAACCACAATCCAGATCTCCCCCCACCGTACACCGAATGCGCTCCTAATAAAGAAACCAAAGCCCAGAAGCTGCTCCACAAGCTGGACACGGAGGAGACGCCTCCTCCTTACTCAGCCTGTGTTGTGGCATTCTCCAATAAAGATTTGCCTACCGTACATATACACAGAGAGCATACAAATGAAGACCCACAAACTAGTTCTGAAATCGATAACGTTCAAAATGGCCTCATAGAAGACAGACAGAGGATGGAGGTTGAAGCAAATGATTACGACGAAGCGATGAGATTAAAGCTAGTATTCGACAACGGGCGTATAGTTGAGAGGTCAATAGACGTGGAGAGTGCTGAGAGTGTCCCGGACGTAGTTGCCCGAGTTGGAGAAACGGTCATCGGTAAAGCTCTCGACGACAACGTACCATGCGTCGATGATAATGCTACGAGTAGTCAAGATAAAGTTATATTTGTGTGAAAAAGTGACGAGTGTCGGGATACAAGTATATTTTATAATTATAATGTCAATACAGAATAGCTACCTTAGAGTTGTAGCGTTAATAACGTCTAATATTGACATTCACTCTGGTATGGAAAGTCTAATTGCCAAGAAAAGTCACATTGTAGTTGATATTGTGATGCCTTTCACGTTTAGCGAATACTTAATGCCATCTAGCGAATACAAGCTAAACTACGCAGTGATTAGTAACACTGTATCGCACAGTAACAGTTTTCTTGCCCCTGAGAGTTTTGTGTATCAAACTATTATCATGCAAAGCGTTTTGCTAAAACTTGTTGTAGCTGAACAGTACAGATTAGAGATAATAGCTGAATTCATTTTACAAGCTAGCACTTAGCTAAACAAAATTGTAATTAAGAGTATTTTTGAATTGACAGGTGTCAGTTTAAATTGACAGAGTCTGTCAGGCGTCAAACTCCAGGGACACTTTTTCTATCGTTATTTAAATTATTTGTTATATTGTTTATAAGCTCAATTTACGTTAAATGTAAAGATAAGGAAGTACGTTTAAATTGAAAGTTTTATATCATCTGTGCTTTGATTATGTTTAGTGCTACAACAATTGTCATGTAGGTGCGAGTGTACTGATGTAAGGGACAAACGTTTAGTTATTGCTCAAAATTACAAGCAATCAACTAATTTAAACGAATTTTTAACGAACTTGTTGCAGCTCAAGTAAAATGAGAATTTATTTGTACAATAATTTTGTAATTAGTACAGTGTACTAAAGAAATCAGATTAGGGAGTCAATTCGGGAGTTAGAATTAATTTAATTAATAATTTTTAATGAATAATTATGAATTTTTAACCGCCTTGAAAAAGAAAGAGGTTTTGAATTCAGCGTTTCCTTTGCCATTTAAAAAAATATGTTTTGGCATTGAAATGACTGTATTTTTTGTTTAGGAAATATTAAAAAGGTAAGAAGAATACAGTTCATAATAATCTATCAGAGATTGAGGATGCAAAGTACGTGAGTGTTTTGTAAAATATAATTGTTTAATTATTGGCACAGTTTGTTAACAAATCGTAGTTTCTGTGCAATCTTCAAGCAAGCTTCAAAAACTCAAAAAGTTCTGCACCGATAGGGCCCAAAATGTGACACGAGATATTTATATATTAGCATGCTTTTATTACCTTCCTAGTGAAGTAACTAACTATGTAAACAGACCTTAGAAGTCAAATTTTACTTCGTTCTAATTATCGTCTCGAAATTAAACTTTGTTATGTGCATATAGTTGATTTGTGTCGTTTAGTTTGTATTTATATTATAATATGTGCTATAATTTGACAACGTTGAAATAATCTGACGACGTAGATAAAGCCCACGTCGGTTAAGTACTAGAGTGAAGTTCGAACCCGCAATCCCTTGATTTCAAATGCGAGACGAATCAATTTATTGTGTTAATTCTGAATCTTTCAGAAAATAGGTTATTAATTGTATAAAATTATATTAAGTGACTGGAAAGCTTTGAAGTCGTTGATTTTTCGAGTAGAAGATTAATTTTAGTTTAGTAATGAAAATTCCGTCGAAACTCACGATCGCACAAGTGGCATAAAAGGTATTCTCGTAATGAAGTATTAGTATATGTGTAACAAATTATTGCACATACTACTAGTATTACTAAGACTAGCAGAATACCGATTCAACTTTCGGTTTACAATACGATATAATCACATTACAATTAACGTTGGATATTCAATACTTTCTGGACACAGGCGTCCTAAACGTTAGGTTGGCAAACGTTTATTTCTATGGAAACTATATTTTGTAAAACTTTTTGGAATTCTAGTGTAAATTACAAACATACAACTTATAACTTGTAGGAAATATTCCATAAACACATATTTTAAAAATAAAACAATTTACTAGCAGTAGTACCTACACACATTACTAGTATTAGGAATATAATCACGTGAGTAAAAGCAACCACTTGAACTCGCCAACGATTTGGGCATTGCGATACCCCATCCTTTTTTTCTGTGCGGAAATCCCCTCGGATACCACCCACCGGTGGCTATACCCCACCCTACCTATACTTGAATTCTTAAGTTTTGTAACTTTTATATATAAAAAAAACTGTAAAGAGTCGCATTCGCGTTTATAAAAAAAAAATGCGTTTTACTTACGTATGTTGTTTCGGACCAGACGGGAGTCCTAATACAAGGAGTGAAGCTACCGTACCAGGCGTGATACTCAGTTGAACCGTATTAAATACGTTTTTTTTTACGTTTTAAATAAATATTGGTAGTGTGTCGCTTGATTTATGTATGATTTATATACCTAATAGTAAGTAGGTGGTATATCTCAATAGACGCTCACCAAAGTTACCTGATTACGTGGAGTTGTTAATTTGTAGATATTTTGTATTTTGTAGAAACTGACTCAGTGTTAAATAGTTTACATGTGTACGATACAATAGATAACTTTTTAAGGTGTATGAAAGATAGACGGTTTTACTCGCGGGCATATTTCGGTGGGCCGAAGTGGATAATCTCAACGAGTGAAACGTCCTGTCCCACTGGGGAATTTCACGAAACCGTTTCATCATCATCATCTCACCCGAAAGATACCACTGCTGGACGCAACCGGTCTTGTGCTGCACGCATTCAACAGCTTCCTGCGATCTTCACCAGATCGTCGGACCACCTTGTAGGGGCCTATCCACACTCTGTCTTCCGAACTTTTTCGCCCCATCGGCCGTCTTTTCTGCTGAAAGAAACTGTTTATCTTTAATAAGATAAGTGTGTAGTTAGTCTTTTCACTGTATTGTACATCATGTATTGTACAATTGTACATCTTCTAATTTACAATGTTTAATAAATTTCAACTTGACATATTATTTTATTTCACAGCATTCTTCTATAGGGTCTACCCTTTATAGCAGATTTTTTTATGTCATAATATTATTTTACATAACAACGGATACCTAGCATCAACTTCATTTCGCAGAACATCGTTCGGCAGACACTCATTTATTATACATTCAAAACTCATAATTCTGTAAGTCATAATCATCTTTAGGCATAAACTTGATATCCATAATAATTAAGAAGTATAACCATCGTATCGTCGAAAGTTCATAGTCAGAATCGTCTTTGAGCATAAATTTTATATCTATAATAATTGAAAGACTATCTATCCATCATTTTCTATTTATTACCATAATAATAAAGCCAGCAAGCACGCAGCATGCAAGCAAGACTGCAGCATGCAGCATATCTGTCACGGCTCCGGCGGTCCCACGTGAGCTTCTCGTCGCAGATGAATTCAATTGAAACCATCTCCTCCTCAGCTCGCGGGCCGCCTCACCCCTCAGCGCCTGCGCGGGCTTAAATTAGACTCTCGGGGTAGGGCAGACAAGATTACGTGGAGTCGGTTTTGTAGCGATTCGTTTCTGTCACAAACTTTTGTAGCAAGACATATGACATTTTAAGATAAAATTTTAATTTGAGGTTAAAATGCTATTTTATGGCAATATACGTAATAAAGTTATTCTATATAAAATTAATTAAATTATGAAATTTGACCAAATCATCATCAAAAATGATGCGGAATTTTAACTCTGTCAAAGGTAAGTATGCTAAAAAAAAATTATTTCATCTTCTATACTATTAAGGCGGCGAATAAGCACAAGGTCAGTATAACGGTATGCACTAAACTTATATTATCGATGATTGTTGGGGCAAACAAGTAGTCGGGGCCCTTGATGGTATGGTAAGTGACTACCGCACCGTACCGTCTAGAATCGCACGTGTAAGGCCACACGTTCAAAAGACACAAGTTCGTATCCGCCATTTAAGCTCCTAGAATTATGGGTTGGTTCTCCGTAATCTCACTAGGTAAAAAGTAACGAAAAGAACCTCCACCGGTAGGAGAACAGCGGTTTTCTGCGAGGCTGGGACTCCGGTCGAGTCGGCCCACCAGTGCCGAAGATTGTCTCTCTAACTGATATCTCAAGGTATAAAATGTATTTATACGCATTGGTTTTGTATATCTAGATATTTTTTTATACCCTTCATACATGCATTCATACATTGAACTGCCTCGGTGGTGGAGTGGTAGCGTATGCGACTGCTGTGCTGAGGTCTCGAGTTCGATTCACGGGTCGGGCTAATGTTTTTATGATCTGCAAATATTTGTTTCGGAGTTTGGGTGTTTTCTATATATAATATGTGTGTATTTACAAAAAACGGTATAAAAGTATTCTATCAGTCAATCTAGCTTTAAACAACTAGATGGCGTTTTGTGTCAGATGTCATACTATTCTGTTTACGCTTTAGCTGGGTATATCCCTCATCTGACGTAAGCGGTAATGATTTTAATTCAAATATAAACGATCTTATATATTAATAAATCTTACCGACACACCTTTAGTTTCTACACCTCAAGGATATCACCACAGCCAAGGACTTTAACAGACTTTCCATTTAAGGTGATGAAGGAACGAGTGATACTTCGACACGTGATAACTAGAATCTCCGTGAGTATTTAAAAATGTTTATATACATATATATTTTAACGTTACACCAATCGCTGGATTAGTTAGATTTAAATAATTCTGTTCGTATCAGATACAGTACTCTGTCAGTCTCTCTTTAAATCTGTGAACAATGTTGTGGGTCACATGTTTATAAATTTAGTATATATAAATTGTATTTAGGTATAATCTAACATGTAACTGTTCTTTGTTCCAATAAATCAATACTCGTTGGGAAGGTAACAGGCTCTGTAACATCACATTAGGGTCCAAAGGAGCAGAGCAGTAACCATAAAGTTAGGTGAACTGTGGGAACAGCTAGAAAAGGCGCCTTAAAAATATTATAGAAACAATCTCAAGTTTCATTAGTACCTACTTGAAATAAGTATTTGAAACAATATTATAAATTAGATACGGGATATGGTTTTATAACTCATCATCATCTTCATCAAAAGTATTTCATAGTCCACTGCTGGAGATAGACTTCTCCTTAGGAAGGAGGTTTTGGCCTACTATAATAAACTGCTCAGACGGATTGGTATAGGGATTGTGTCAAGTTTGTCTTCTCTTTGCAGTGCTACTTGCTTAGTTTGCTCCCTTAGTCGGCTCTTACGACACCCACGGGATGGATAGGGGTGGTGACACTTCGTATTCTTAATCCGTGGCCACACGGACAGCGCAATATTATAACTAATACGTGTCATGTAATAACATATTTTTTATATAACTAGGTGCTTAAACCAGATATACCTAATGCATAAAGATGATTAATATTATTTTAACGGGAATTAACGCGATCTCTTATTTAGGGTATTACATACCTCTGGTTTGCCTGACGTTTCGACCAGGTTGCACCGGCCGTGGTCACAGGCTGACTGGCTCATCGGCGCACGCCCTCCGTCGTCGAATCCTTGAAGTAGAAGGCTCTTCATCTACCCGCACATTTTCGATATTGTTGTTGTTTTTGTTTACAGAATAGGGACACTGTTAGTGTGGTATGTGACGGTACACGGATTCGACGACGGAGGGCGTGCGCCGATGAGCCAGTCAGCCTGTGACCACGGCCGGTGCAACCTGGTCGAAACGTCAGGCAAACCAGAGGTATGTAATACCCTAAATAAGAGATCGCGTTAATTCCCGTTAAAATAATATTAATTATCATGGAACGCGAAAGTTTAAAAGTTTGCATAAAGATGAAAAAAAAAACCCTTGCGACTAAACGTTGCGGGCAGCAAATACGCAGGCGTTTCTTTTTTAGCACTTGGTGTGATTATATTAAATTCTATGATAAAGGTGAAAGCCAGTTTATTTATTTAATTGCATTTTATTTACACTTCCTGCAAAACATATTGCATAATGTGGATTTAATGATGTTTTTGATTGTTACGTTTACTTATCCACCGATCATTATTTAATTATTCAAATAACTAGGTACATTATAAGGAGTATAGAAAACGGCGCAGGATACTTTTCATCTAGATAGTAGTATATAGTTTTTCCAAGGCTTATCTAATGATAATGATAATTTTTGTCAATCCTGTCTAAGTATAATTACTTAGACAGGATTGACAAAAATTAATACCTTAGAATTTGAAAATGTTTGAAGACCTAAAAAGAAATCCTTCAGTAACAGCTAAGAAGGCTATAGATCAAGTCGTGTTGCAAAAACAAAGCAATCGGGCAATCCGTTTAGGGGCTATGATGTTATACAGACCAAGTACTGTTATACGAATATAAAAAAAAAAACTGCATTCAGCTGAACAGGCAGGAAACAAAAAAAGAGGGGATAGACTTGGCAACAAAGATTACACCACTATTGCGAGATTTTAGTTAATCCGGTAACAGTAGACGGCTGCGCCGGGCCGTATGCTTGCTTCCGTTGCCGACTTACCTACATGTAAAAAGTTAAACCTGTCAATAGAGATGGGTATTGGTAAACAAGTATTATGTGATCTGTGGGACCACAGACTATGTTTTCGTTCAATATAATGGGCATATGTGACTCATAGGGCTTTCCTACTACACACTAGAGCACACATATTATACTAGGTACATGAGTAAGGAAAAACGTTATGTTTTCTTTACTCAAAATAATATTACGCAACACATGTTTTTTTATTGGCCGTTATGTGGGGCCGTGAGTAAATTAAGTCAAGTCAGTTGTGTTGTGAACTTAGTTAGCGATGCGTGTACCGGCGCGCCTCCGAACAGTCCGAGCAGCAACTGAGAACAGGTACCTACGCCGTTCACTTTATTTACACTGAATTTATGTTAAATGCGACGACATTCCCGCTGTTATTTGACGCGTAACGCGACCATTTCTGTGATAACTTGATAAGTGTCTGCGTCTAGTGCGTCATGTTCAGCTTTGAAACTTCATATCATTGTGAATTTGAATACTAATGTACGAAGTTATGGACACGGAAGGATACGTGAAGAAAAAAACATTTTTTTATTAATATATCTAGACCTATACGTACAATATAACCTAGGTATATGTATATAGGTCAGGTAATACCGATAGCTAGTGGATTTGACGCGCATTTAATAAGTAAAAAACTTGATGTTGACAGACAGAATAATGGTATAATTATTAGTATAGATTATTACAGAGATACTTTTTTAGACTTTTACATTATTAAGTTACGTTCTTGAATAACGCGTGGATGATAGGTAACGTCAAAACGTTCTAAATAGTGTTGAAGCAGATACGTATAAATATATATTATATTTAATGTCAATTAAACAATCAAAGGCTATACGGTTTCTATTTAACATAAATAAATATTAATATATCAAATATTTCTTCATAATAATAATAATAATCAATGCTTCAAACTTCACGTGTTTCTTTCTACGGGTGATGCAAGCACGAAGGTGAATTGTTTGTTTCTTATCGTCATGACCATAAGGTTGAAATTGAAATGTATAAATAGTAGGAACAATTCCTTTGTATTGCATTGTTGATAAGTTGTACAAGGTCGAAGGTGAAAAACCGACCGTACGCTTCAACATTAGAATCTTAACATTCTATTTACAATGTTATATACTTTCAAATTTAGATATATTTTTTCAAAATTGCCTACTTAAAACAGCCAGCATCATGAAATTAAGAGTGTATCGTTGCATTGTCTGTCCTTTGTCTGGAGAAGCCATTCACACACACGGCTGTCTGAGGCCTAGTTTGGGATCAGACAGCCGTGTGTGAGATGTGTGAGGTTATTATTATTAATGACTTTATTATTTTAAGAAGTTATAAGTACATAATAAATTACTCCTCGGATAGGTTAGTGAGGGCATACAAAAGCGGTTTTTCTGTCGAATAAGATGTGCAAATAAAATTAATGGTAATTTTATTTGCAAAACTCGGCAAAGTCGTTTTTACTTGACATTGACTGGCTGTTTGGTCTAGTGGTCAGTTACCCTGACTGTTTATCCATATTTTGATACTCACCAACAGACAAATAATCGTGTAATGACCACGATCATCTGTTCTGTGTCTGGGTGTAATTTATCTATAATATATATGTATTTAGTAATATATAAGTATGTTTATCAGCAGTCTGGTTAACATAGTACAGACTGCCTAGTTTGGGCCCAGACTGCCGTGTGTCAAGTTCTTATTATTGATTAAGTCCTATTGGGGATGGAGAGATAATAAACAAATTTTCTTCGCAGCAACATCTCTCATCGTTAAATTTGCATTTTTTATTTGTTACATATTCTAATATGGTTGCACGACTGCACGGACGGCTTAGTGGTTTAAGCGTTCGCCACGTGTCGTGGCTTCGATCCCCACATGGGACAACACTTTGTGTGATCCACAAATTGTTGTTCAGATTCTGGGTGTTCTTTGTGTCCGTTTCATGCATGTTTGTAAAGTCCCCCGCGACACAGGATATATTTCTAACGCGGAAGTTGTCTTTAAAAAAAATAAAAATGTATGTTAACAATAGCCTAAGGGTGATAGTTTTTTACCGATTTCAGAGCGCAATCACGCAACGTCATTCAGAAAATTGAAAAAGAAAATGAGTCGGATAAACCACCACTATATCAAATCTACGAAGTACTCAATTTTGATGACGCCGAAGGTAAGCAAAATAAATTAATGGACCTTTGTAGTAGTACAATGAACGATTCAGAGGACCTAATGTGGGCACGGGCTTATGTGGTGTCACGTCTGGTTTTAATATAAGCTGAGGGCCCAGTGTGAGCGAGACTCGCCAACGCCGAACGCAGTCACTGTGACGATCGAGTTGATGAGAAGTAAACTCTCACTAGGCCTTTAGACTATATTAAATCCAATCGTGACACCACATATGCCTGTGTATACACATATATACCGATAGTGACTAATCTTCTAAGAAAGTATTGTAGTAAAGAGATCACACAATAATAAGACTCACGTCACGGAGTACGTTCTAATATTAAACAACGTTATTTGCTAATCACATAACATTGTTTAATGTTAGAACGTACTCCGTTAACAAGCGTTAACAAGATTACGTAACGTTATATCCATGTTATTAAGTAATCTTTAAGTAAGACAGTCTTTTATAAAACTGGTAAAAAATCTGTAGGTTTTAGGTTATTTTTACGTCTCAGGGCACAAGATATATAAAGCTATCCACAATCAAAGTCCCGTGAGATATCGCAGACTTCACAACTTCTCAAAATATAATTATATTTTATTTTTGATAAAATCTATGAATCAAAGCAATCAAGAAACAAAAACCAAGTTGTTATACTTCACCTCAATAAATTCTTAAAAAAGAAAGGTTGAAATTCAAACAATACTGACAAAGAGCACAAAAATTAAAAAATAATTACAAATCTAAGTAAAAAAACTATAATAAGTACCCTCAATATAACAGGTAACATTATTATAGCAATAGTCCCTTCTAGTCTGTTTGAAGTCGGTGCCAAACCAAATAGGTGCTCGATAGGTGCTCGATTTTTATCAAAGGACACCAAATAAAATCGTTGACATTAGCTATTTAGGGACAAAAATAGAATCAAATACTACTACTAAATTTCTTGGTATTAATATAGACAATAATTTGACCTGGAAATCCCAGACAGACGAAGTATGTAAAAAACTAAATAAATTTGCCTATGTTCTTTATAAACTATCAAAAATACTAAGCCTAGAATCCGTACTAATGGCCTATCACGGTTACGCTGCGTCAACACTGAGATATGGCGTAATATACTGGGGTAATTCAGTTAATAGAGAACTTGTATTCAAAGCCCAAAAAAGATGTGTCAGAGCTATGTGTGGTCTAAAAAGCACCGACAGTTGTCGACCGTATTTCATACGTCTAAAAATTCTTACCTTGCCATCTCTGTACATATACGAAACAAATATGTTCGTGAAATCCAACATCTCATCATACAAACTAGCAACTAAAAGTTACTACAGAAAACTACGAAATAAAAATAAGTCGGAACTCCAAGTGACATATGGCAAAACTGCACTAATGAATAAAAGTACCTTCTGTATGGCCACCAAAATATTCAACAAATTACCTGAAAAAATTAAAACGCTAACTCTGGCCAATTTTAAAAGAGAAGTATTAAAAATCTTGATAAGTAAGTGCTATTACTCACTAAAGGACTATTTGGACGACAATTCTATAATTACTGCTTCAGAAAATTGTACAATACCTCGACTATCCTAATGATTTTGAATTGACATTAAATTAATTTGTTTGACATTTATTAAAATTGACTGTATTTTGTATTTATTTTGACATGCATGTGATTATTAATTATTATCATTGACGTTATTAATAATGTGGAAGTTTAAATAATCCTACAAATTTATGATATTTGAAAAAGTGTATATTTGAAAATGTGTAAAAATGTGTATATTTGTACGCCCCTGGGCAAAACATAGAGGACTTGCCTATCCATAACATCTCACACTCTATTGTAATTTGACCTATGTTTACAAATAAATGATTCTGATTCTGATTCTGATTCTGATAGGCATGGTAGAATGTAGCGCGGCAGCTGCAACAGTCTTGATGCTGCGCAAAACATGCTGAACGAGCTAAAGTGGGTTACGCGCATTTCCAATGACATTATTATTTTGAATGCTTTATTAAGTAGTTGATAAGTTTGCGCACGTAATTGATCTGGTTGGTATTTATTAATTAACAAAATCTTCGATGTTCCATTAGAATTATACTGAATTCTTAACTTTTTATTGTGTTAATATTAAGCTGACATAGAGCAGTATTACTTATATTGCATCGGGCTTGGCACCGACTTCAAACTAACTAGAAAGGACTATTGCTGTCATAATATTATCTGTTATATTCAGGGTACTTATTATAGTTTTTTTTTACTTAGATTGGTAATTATTTTTTCAATTTTTAGTGCTCTTTGTCAGTTTTGTTTGAAGTTCCACCTTTCTTTTTTAAGAATTTATTGAGGTGAAGTATAGCACAACTTGGTTTTTATTCTTGATTGCTTTGATTCATAGATTTTATCAAAAATAAACTCGATTCTAATTCTATTTTGAAAAGTTTTTAGTGCTCTTTTACAGTATTGTTTGAAGTCGGTTATATTTTTTTTAAAAGGATTTATTTTACCATTTTAGTGTAAGATATGTTTGTAATGAGTAGATAAATACGATATTTAAAACACTACGTACTCTAATGAATATTACCAAACTGTAGTATGTTAGATTGTATTAAATATAATTTAAAAAGTCCGTTACTTTATTTAGATAAGGTAGTAAGATGTTACAATTGAACCCGAAAATATACTGTTTTCCACATTACTTAATTTTCCTAAACTAGGAGTGGTTTTTTTCCTACACATTTGAATTTAAATAAAGGCGAAATATACCATCCCAAATAAACAAATTATTTTTAAACATTTTTTTTCTAAATGTTTTGTAATGTCATATACGATCACATATCTCTGTAATCTTTTGTGAACATATCTCTGTAATCCAACACAAACACGTAACAAATATCTTGAAAGAAAAAAAACAAGGTCAAGAAATGATTACATTTTTAAAAGAGTTATCCTCTACCTCCTAAAGGTCAACGACCCTTCTATCATCAGCTCAGCAACATGACACAACGACTACTAAAATAAAGATAGAGAAAGAAGCAAAAATACGTTGAGGGTTTCCCTCGATTTCTCTAGGATCCCATCATCAGATCCTGATTTGGTAATTATAATGGTAATGGGACTACCTCGTAAGCATACCCTTTCGATTACAAACAAAGAATAAAAATACAGACGAATTGCTAACCTCCTCATTTGTGAAGTCGTATTTTTGAAGTCGGTTAAAAAATGAAATTCACGACAGATTATGAATAAGGTATATGTAAGTAATTGCAATTTTTTTTAATCTTAATTATTTAATCTGTAGACCACTCTTTATTTCTGTATAAATATACAGTATACGTTTTAATTATAAAATCAAATCATTAATATTTTAATTCTCCCTCGCAAGTTTCTAAAACACATCGTTTAAAGAGGAGATTAGCCACTGCACTTCATCATACTGGATGGATGATACGACCTTCAAGCCTTCAAGAAAAGAGCGTACTCCTTTCTAAAAGGCCGGCAACGCGTTTGTGACTCCTGAGTTGCAGACATTCATGAGCGGCAATAGTCACTTTCCATCAGGTGACCCATCAGCAGGTCTCCCCCCTCTAACATAAAAAAATGAAGCTTATCTAATCTTCTTTCTTTAAAGCTTTGTAAAGGAAATAACAAGCCTCGGGACTTATAAAGCGTAATCTACCATCCATAGCACCGTTAGTACCAGCCATGTGATTCTAAACAACCCCTTATACACTGTGTGATGAAGGTTATAACGAAAACTGAAACACCAGATAAGACGGTTCAATATACGTCGGTTAAAATAAAAAAAATAGTACGAAAATACAGAAATGCTAATTTAGAACAAAATAAATACAATAAAACAAACATGAGTCGGTGAACTGAACCTACGCGGCAGCGACGCAATGTCGCCGACATCAAAGCGACGCCGCCGCCGCCGCCGCCGCCGCGACGAGCCGGCGAACTTTACATTCTTATTATCTACCTACTAATCACTTATACGTATATACAGCGTAAACCTACAGCTGATCGCCGCCTGATTTCAATGTATTATGACTGCATGTACACATGATGTTGCAAATTACGAAAACAAAAAAAAACCTGTTTCTAAACCAATGAATATTTTTTGTTCATATTTTGCAAATCGTCTAGAAATAAAGTGCAGAATATGATGTTAAAAGCTTTGTGATAAAATAAGGGACATGCTGTATAAAGACTGAGTAACCTCAGGTTTCATAGACAGCAGTAGGCAATTATCATCCGTCTTCTCATTGGCATGAAAGAAAACTCAAAAAAAATCTTATCTTTTCCAGCGCATCATGGTCTCAACAGAAATGACTTGAGAGGTAATGCCTCCATACCGGCATGGATCTGGCCCGTGGTGCGGCTGGTGCCGAACGAAGGGTTCGACAAACACCATGATTCGCCTGACAGGTAACTAGTTAGTTATACTTCATCATCCTTTACTAGTCCACTGCTGGACATAGGCGTCTCCTTCAAAAGGAGGTTTTGCCCTACTATCCCGCGCGATACTATCCCAGACGGGTTGGGTTTGTGTTAAATTTTCCTTCTCTATGCCGTGCTGCCTCAGTCGGTTCTTACGACGCCCGCGGGATGAATAGGGGTGGTGACAATCCGTATTCTTAATCCATCACCGTCACCATCACCGTAAACAATACAAGCATGTACGAGTATTTAGTTTTAGTAGGTGTTTTACACGAGTTAATTATTAACATTTATCTTGTCTTTTTCGACATACTTAAGGTTCTTCTTTCTCTGCTTTCAGATTAAAACAGTTATTGAAGAGTAGATACTTCCACGAAGACGAGGCACCCTGGCACTTCCCAACAGTCGTCACCAAGCGATACCCTTCCCTTAACGGTGTTAGTGGTTTGTTGATTTCTGTTATTGCTTTTATCTCCTCCAATTTATATTTATTATTATCAATAATAACTATTTCTTGCAAAATTGAAAAGAAACGTGTTAAAGAAGGAAAACTTGATACAATCCCTATACCAACCCGTCTGGCCAGCGTGGTATAGTAGGCCAAAACCTCCTTTCTAAGGAGAGGCCTATGTCCAGCAGTGGACTATTAAAGGCTGTTGATGTGATGTGTGTGTGTTATAAATTAAAAAAAAAAACATTATTGTACATTCCAAGTGGAAAATATATAAAAGTAACTTTGACATAAAGTGAGTTACATTAAATTCAGAATTCTCTGACTCCTGCACTAGTAGATACTGTGTTGTAGGATCCAGTGGCTTCTCCTTTTTACATGAACAGTCATTTTTTTTTTTTATTCACCACATTCACACAACGCTATCTAGTCCCAAACTAAGCAGAGCTTGTACTGTGGCTACTAGACAACTGATATAAATACATATATACTTTTTTTTTTGTAAATACATACATACATATTATTATACATAGAAACACCCAGACCAAATCAAACATTAAATGTTCAAGCACACAAATGTTTGACTTGAGCGGGAATCGAACCCGCGACCTTTGGAATAGCAGTCCGTTACACAAACCACTATACCATCCGGTCGTCAAAGTCATTGTTTTTGTATAATACATAAAAACAAAAGTAAAATTTAAAATACTGATGCCAATTCATGTGCGGCGTGTTTGTGTGTAAGTAAGTGTGTGTGGGTGTGTGTATTTGTGTACTCTAATTGGCTAATACCAACAACTTCCATTACCCAGACCTCGTCAAATGTGTGTTGTGCAGGTGGAGTACAGCGAGGTGCCCACGGCCCGCCCCGACTCGTCCACGTCGGCGGTGTGGTTGGCCGCGCCACTCCTCACTTTCTTTCTTCTGCTTCTGCTAGGAATACTAATAAGAAAGATTATTCGTTGTGAGTAAAACTATTATATTTCTTCTGTTTATAGATCTGAAAGTTCTTTCTGTGCCGCAAGACTAGATTGTCTTTACACCGGATCGCGGCGGTCTTATCTCATAGAAAATTTTAAAAGTTACCTAAGTGTTTTCAAAACATCACTACTACATTCGGTAACACAAACCATTTGTAAATGTGTTTATGTTTTACGGTTTAACTTTCATTCATTAGTTCAGACTTTCCATGCTTCTTTACAAATGGGCCGGGTCCACCGAGGCGATGTCACGGCCTCAGAGAAAACCGGTGTCAAACAGTTCCTCAGAGCTAGTGAAGTTACCAGAGGTCCAACCCTTCAAATCATTCTGAGAGTTTGGCACTTAAACTTGTATCTCTTTGAGTTACAGGTGTCCATTGGCGAAGGTGACCACTTAACATCAAGTCACCCGTCTGTTTCTCGCCTATACCATAAAAAATATTTTTACTTCTGTATCTGCGCTGTTTTTCTAATTAACTTCGGTGCACTGTTACGCAATATCTTCGACATTTCTGAAACGATTTAAATTATTATTCTCTTTATTAGTTTATAAATACATATTTATTACATGTTTAAATATATTACAAAATAAAAAAATACATTTAATAATATGAAAAATACCACGATGTCGGTGGTCTACCACCGACATCGGGTACAGGGACTAAGACACCGGTGGGTAGGACTCTAAACCTCCTCACTATACGGGCCGTGTCAAGGAGAACTGCTTTCTGAATTAGACTCTTGATCCAGCCGTCTAACTTGAGCCTCTTGGTGATGGTCGACACTCTTGGCAATCAATCCATGAGCCATCGCCGAATCCAAATTCCACATATCGACAATCTCGTGAGATAAATCCAAATATTCTTTTTTTTCTGTTAGAGGGGGCAAACGAGCAGACGGGTCACCTGATGGAAAGTGACTATCGACGCCCATGAACGTCTGCAACGCAGAAGTCACAAACGGGTTGCCGGCCTTTTAGGAAGGAGTACGCTCTTTTCTTGAAGGTTTGAAGGTCGTATCGATCCGGAAATACCGCAGACGATAACCCTTTCCACAGATTGGTAGTGCGGGGCAAAAGGTGTCTCGAAAAGCGAACAGTAGTGGAGTACCAATAGGTGAAAAGCGCATTTGTTTTTGTTTTTCTTTTTCAACTTTCCCGAGATTATTATTAGAATTATATTATATTATATTATTAGTTCAGGGTATGTCTGGTACACGACTTATCGGGTCGGAGAGATGAGAGAGAGATGATGAGAGATGGTTCTAAGACTGGTGTAAGGCGATTCAATAGCATTCTCTCAAACAGATTGAGAAAATGACACGACGGCGAAAGCGGGCGGTAACTCTTGGATTAGATGAACATTTGCCGGGCTTAAGAATGGCTACAACCTTCGCTTATCTCCATATTTTGAGGTCTTTAGGCATTGAAGGCATGAATTATACATATCCAAGAGCCAAGATACAACTCAGAAATTGTACTCAAAATTGGTCCAATTTAAATTTAAAGAAAATCTTCCATGACGTAGGGTGTAAAATTAATGGATTAAGAAGAATTAGATACAGCTAATTACAATTTAAACGGTCTCAAGTATTCCGTTTGATTGCAGGTCTGCTAGCCCCACAACACAACACCTGCCTCCTCATAGAGCATTTAGAAGAGCAACAAAGGTCAAACAGCTTAGATTTACCTGTCACCTGTAAGTACTTAACATGATTAAATGTAGACCAGAACTTAAATAGTACAAAACTGTTCTTGTAGGACAGGATAGAAAGGGGGAAAAGAGTTCATCTATCGCCCGCTACATCATCAGACATTCTAATATGTTGCGCTGGCCATTATAAATCATAAGAGCACAAACTCGAGAGATTAACTCTAAGCCACTTACTTTGCTTTTAACTAAGTGAGTTATGTTACCGGAGCTCAAGGACCCCCCCCCCCCCCCTCCCGTCCCTGATTAAAGTACTACCGCTGCAACCGTGGAACTTCCCCCCCCTGGGAGGGAGGCTCCACGGTTGCAGCGGTAGTACTTGTGAATCTTTATTCGCAGTTCTCCATGGACGATGGTAGTCACTTTCCATCAGGTCTCCCGTCTGCTCGTTTGCCCCTTCTTACATACAACAAAATTTCGTCTGCTCGTTTGTTTAAAAAAAGGTACTCAGTTCGAAGAATTTTCAAAATATTAAAATATAATAAATTTCTATTTCAGCACATGAACGAAACGAAGACGATCTCTCCGTAACGCTCTCAGTTGAGTCACAATACTCTGACCAGAGCGACAACGAAACTGACTTGCCGCCGCCTTATTCCGAGTGTGGGACCAACCGCACTGAGACCAACAACCTCGCCTTCTCCGAGGAACTACCTCCGTCGTACTCCACATGCCTTGAAACATTCAACAGCATAGATGATATACTGAAGGTACACAAAGGGCTGAATGTGGAAGAGCCACAAGCTCCTCCTGAAACAGCTGCACATCTCAACAATATAGACGATACAGATAGAAGCAATATCGAACAAAATAGTTCTAGAACATTAAGTACAGTGGTTGATACAACGAATTTAGATAATAGACTAGTCGGCAGTCAAGGTGGATCTGAAAATGTTGAGTAGACTGATGTTCTATGCACTTTTTGAAATTCTCTGCTCCATACCCCAGGGTAGCAGCGTGATGTGACCTGCCACAAGATTTAGGCTATCGAATGCGAAAATAAGTATCCAAATCCAAGTGGCAGAACCAGGGAGAATGGAAATTCTTTGCAATGAATCTAGAGAATGCGTACAGACCTTTTCGTTGATAGATAAGTGTCAAAGTCAGCCTTTGAAAGAATAATACATGCTGATGTAGAAGACAATTTAAGTATTTTATTTACTTGGTTTTTTTTAAATGGAAACTGTTATTTTTGTTCTGTACTGGGGTCAACTCTAACATCGCACGCTTTCATTTCTTAAATCAAATACAGACCTCCGTCCTGCTCTGTTACATACTTCCATCCCTGTTCAGGAGACTATTCTCATAGATTGCAGAAAGTGAAGGTAACAATGTTACATATAAATTCTAAGTGTTACAGTTGGGAATAAATTTCCATAGACATTGGGACGATGCTTACAAGAGGGTAGTTGACTGAGAACTCAAATCATTTTACTAAATGTTCAACAGTTTATAAATGACTTCAAGACTTTACAATGTACATGTATAGAAGAATTCACTGCCACCACTTACTGGATAAAACTGGTTTTCTGTAAGGTCGTGACTCCGGACGAGAAGGCAATTTGTGCTGAAGTACCTCTCTCCCTCAGTTGTTACATTGAGTTCCTTTTTTCGTTTGCTCGAGCTCGTACACTTCGACTTTTGCCCACTTAAATCGGTTGAGTTTGAAATAAGTTAATTAAGTCAATTTGAAAGTTATAACTGTGAGGCTTTACGAATCCTCTCTCGTTATATTTAAAAAATAACGTTTATTTATATAAACACATATATCACATCGCCTGATTCTAGTCATACTGTTTTGTACTATTGAGACAAGTTCGACGGGTTTGTTGGTCTAGACGTTAGTGACCCTAACTGCTAACCCAGAGATCGTGGGTTCGATTTCCACCCAGGACAAATAATTGTGTAATGATTACCAACATTTGTTCTGTGCCTGGGTGTAATTAACATATAATATGTATGTATTTAGAAGTATATAAGTATGTTTATCAGCAGTCTAGTTACCTTTGCACAGAATCTGACCAGTTTGGGAATAGACGGCCGTGTGTAAGATGTGTTATCGCAAAATGGTCGCGGTGTACTTGGATGTGCAAGGTAGAATGGACAATGTGTTTATCAGCAGTCTGTTTAACACAATAGAGACTGCTTGTCTGACTGAGTTTAGGGTCAGAGCACTGTGTGTGAGCCGTGTGAGGTGTATCTAATTATTACTATTTTACAATAAAACTCATGCCAAATTAAAATTAGAAAAAATATGTCCAAACATGTGCTGCCTTCTGTTAAGAGTTTAATATATGAAGATGTGATTGTGGTTGTGTTAAGATATAAGTAGTCATACATATATAGTAATAAATACTTGTAAGCTACATGTGGCAAAATAGTCATTTTTATATACATGTTGAATCTACATCATAATCTCAGCTTTAGTAGTTTTGGCCGGCGCCTGACGCCTTCTCTTTTTGGGAATAAAATCATTTTCAATTGGAACAAATTGTGTCTTGGATCGTAAATGAGACAGCGGTAGCTCTGGGGTCTCGTAAACCGTCTGATCTTCCAGGGGTTGCAGAGACCACTGGCACAGGGACATTCATTCAATATACATCTATGTATAATCCGTGTGGTGACGGATTAAGAATTCCAGGCCTGTTCATTCCGTTGGTGTCGTAGGAACCGACTAAGGTAGCAAACTACGCAGGACAACAGCACTGCAAAGAGAAGGAAAACTTGACACAAACCTTATACCAACCCGTCTGGCCAGCGTGGTATAGTAGGCCACAACCTCCTTTCCAAGGAGTGGCCTGTGTCCAGCAGTGGACTATTACAACTTGATGATGATGTATAAATTATTATTATTTGCAAATTGTTATTGGTACTTATAGTCGGCCAACTGCTGTTGTATTTTTGATAGTGTTCATTATATTAAGGAGTAACGGGTTTGTAAGTTGTAGCTAGATTAAATACATTATAATAATAAGACCAGATGCTACAAGATACCTGCACTAAAAGCTCGGTTATTTAGGACCAGCTTTTGCCTTTTTTCTATTTTTGTATTCATCGGTAACAGTAAGAACTTTTATTGGAGTAAAAGGTCCTTTTTGTACCCCTGACGGTTGATTTTTTGAGTGACGTGTGAATGCATAACAAACAAACACACACATTAGTATTTATAATACCTGTAAGTTAGTTAAGATTTGATACGAGCATTACAATATCCAATACCCTGTATTGTGCTGTTATGAATTGTAAATAAAACTATTTCTATTACGACAAAAATGTAAAAAAAAATGAAGGATTATTTAAAAATATGTCTGTTATTTTTTGTTTTTCTTTTTTAATATGGTATCCCCACATCTTTTCAGGATAATCACAGGAGGATGTAAATGTTCCCAAAGTTTTAGAAAACTGATAATGGGTGCTTTAAACTTTCCCTCCCCATAACTATTGCAACTAGTTTTATTTATTTATTTAAAACTTAATGCACACGTTGTACAAAGGCGGACTTAATGTCATGAGGCATTCTCTCCCAGTCAACCTTCAAGTGGTGTAGACATTTGATTCGGTGAGTTTTACTTGTATCTTAGTTTACTACTCCGACATTACATAAATTATAGGCATCGTCAATGAATACTTATTTCAATACAAAAAGAATGATTAAAATCTGACTGACAGCTTCAGAGAGCTTTAAAGAAATAAAAGAATTGTTTACCACAGCGTCATCTAGCGAAACTAGGTTCAAATACGTAGTAATTACTGATTCTGCATCGCACAATGAAAGTTATCGCACTGTAAACACGTTACAAAACAAGGCAGCATTTATAATCCGTACCGAAGACAGCGCGTTTAAACAAAGACTAGAGACTCCTGTTGGTAAGCGGTACTTTACACTCCTGCGGTGTCCAATTCTCTGGCTCTCTAGTGACCCACTCAGCAGATAACAAAACAGAACTAGTGCCGTCTTCTGAAATGTGGCGAATCTCCCCAAAATTCTACTCGGCCTTTCCATAAACATATAGTCAGATAACAAAGGACGGAATGTAACATAAAAAGCAGTCTGAGTAAAAACCTACATTTAAAAGTGGTTAAAAACAATAAAATAATAAATGTGACCACGAAACGTGACGGATAGTATACAAGCTATTATTTTTCGTACTATGCAGCTCATTATAGAGTAAAAAGTATTCTAATTTAATCCTCCCAAGGATGTCTTTCGCATAATCTGACCATAATTCTTAATCTAACACTGATGTACTTTTTAGTAAGTCAACACGTGGTAATAAGGGCATCGCGTAAAGCTGACAATAAGTTCATGTTCAAGATACAAATTTAATTACCGTTTAGTAAAACAAAAAGCGGTTTTAATGTCAATTTTAAATGTTTGTTAGGATCTGTGATATTTTGAAACAACTTAGTTTATAAACCCTTTTAAAAAAAAGTTGAACCGACTGCAAACAACACCGACAAAGACTACTAAAAATTAAAAAATAATTACAAATCTAAGTAAAAAACTATAATAAGTACCCTCAATGTAACAGGTAACATTATAATACCAATAGTCCCTTCTAGTCTGTTTGAAGTCGGTGCCAAGCTCGATGCACAATAAGTAATACTGGTCTATGTCAGCTTTGTATTAGCACAATGAAAAATTAAGAATTCAAAATAATTCTAATGAAACATCGAAGATTTTAATAATCGCTTTGAAATTAGAAACAGGGTTTTCCTGTCGTCAGCTATGATTGTGTGATGTAAGTAAATTACTGAATTACGTCATCGATTTAACACATAAAAAACACAAATAATTAGACTTTTAAAAACGTATCAAAGTCTTCAATGTGATTAAATAATGATAAATTGGATGACGCAGGCGCAACAAATGGATATGACGATGAATTCGAAACCAAACATTTTTGAAGTTTAAATAAATATTTATAAAAATATATCATCTATATGTTCAACCGCTTTCACATCCTTGTTTATGATACGCGATTACTCTTTGGGTTTCACTTTCTTGAGAATCCATGGGACAGGCGAAGTTGCTGCGAGACGCAGAGGCGAGGGGTGAACCCCCGGCTTTAAGTTATTTTGTACTGTAGTGTAGTAATACATATATAATACGTATATCTACCTTACGATATAAGTAGTGATGATTATTATATTTGAGGGAGAATAAATCTGATCGTTGTCATAACAACATCTTTCAATGTCTCTCGACACCCATCCTTACAACAGTACAACTGACCAGCAAGCCATCGGAACCGGTTACTAAAACCTGCGGACACTCGCAGAACAAGAGCAATTGGAAACTACGTGTTAGAATTTTTTAATATGGACGTAATGTAATGAAATAAAAATATTTACATATAAACGCGATCGCTCACTGGCAGGGTTGCCCTGCCAGTGATCGATCGGATTCGCGTTGCATTCCGATCGCTCAATAAAGAATTGTGATATTAAACATTGTCACAATAACGCTGCAGTTATGAGTTATTTAACATCACTGCGTATTATTGAGAAGTTTGGTGAACGTTTATTGTGCGAAAAATGGGTCAACAACAATCAAAGGAACCTGTAATCATCGCACAAATCGCTAGTGGTGGTAACAACACTTCTTCATTGGAGCAAGTGTATCAGCATACCAGCGCCATCACCTGTATCCTGGGCGTGATATGGCTGTGTGGTAAAAAATATAAGGAAGCTAATATCATTTTACAAAGTTTTGAAAGACAGTTATTGCATATACGAAGTAACATAAAGAAATTCAGTCAGACTGAACTTGGTTTAATAAATAAATTCACGGGAAAAATTAAGAAGGCATTTGAAGAGATTAAAATTTTGTGTAACCCATCTGTGGTGATTGATAAAATGGGTGTGCGTTACCCCAGCAAAATAATGTCGAAAATGGTCA